GTTTTAGAATAAGAGTATGAGTTTATTCATTGATAGTATTAAGTAAAATAAAGTTTATTCCTAACTGAACTAAAGCAAAAAACTTAAGCAAGTTACAGTGTTGATATGTCTCTTTATCGAATATAGGTAGTACTTAATAAAGGCTTAAATAATGTTAGGCCTAAGATAAGTGGGCTTATAGATTTTGGTGTCTGTGGTTTTAGTTTGTTTTTAATTTCTTGCAAAGCTACATGAGGGCTATCTGCACTAGCCATCCTTAATTTAGCAGTGAAAGACTAGAGGAAGGCAACTAGTCATCGAATATATAGGTGGTACTTAATAAAGGCTTAAATAATGTTAGGCCTAAAATAAGTGGGCTTACAGATTTTGGTGTCTGGGGTTTTAGTTTGTTTTTAATTTCTTGCAAAGCTACATGAGGGCTATCTGCGCTAGCCCTCCCTAATTTAGCAGTGAAAGACTAGAGGGAAGGCAACTAGTCATTGCTACCCACTGCCGATTATTGGGTTACTCTTTTACCAACGAACAACAGGATTGACATCACATTATAACATCCCCACAGCTGAAAGGGCGAGCATGTTTGGTGAGACTGGGATTCAAACCAGTGTCCCTCAGATTAGGAGTCAAGCATCCTAACCACCTGGCCATGCCATTCAGTGTCTGTGATTATAATTCTCTTGTATTATACTAGAAATGCCATATTTAATAAAGTACTATTGCAATAAAGATACTAATTTGACTGCAAATGTTTTGCGAGTATCTGATAGTTATTCAATATAAACAATTTGCCTCACTTGAATGAACAATATCTGTTCAGTTAAAATCCTTATGCAGTGAATAAGTTTCACAGCAGATGTTTAATCTGATCACAATTAGGCCAAAATAAGTCACTTTAGCTGAATCCTATAATATTGAATTCTCTTCATACTGTATCATTTATAAGTATAATTAAATCAAAATGATTGCCACTTAGAAACAACAAGAATATTAATCTCTGACTAAAAATATGTATAATTATCTAAAAGACAGATGGACTAACTTTTGCTTATCAAAGATAAATAGTGTGAACCGAAGAAGTAACATTCACAGTAAATCCAACTGTGTGAAGCACACTGAGGCAAATAATTTTTTTAAATCTTTTTATTAGATTCTGTATGGCAATCCTGTAGTAGATATACATGAACATTAAACAACTGCTAGCGATATGTTGAGGCTTAGAAATTGTTATATTAACACAACAAAATTTCTTTAAAATGAGAAACTTAATTACTAGTAACACCACTTGTACACAATTTTTAAGTGAGCTATGACAAGGCCCAATGAAAGAAGTCAAGGTACAAAGCATTCATAGAATATACAGAAGTTACTTTATCATAAATATTTTCTTAGCACGTAGCTCTGAATGCATATTCTTATTTTTCTAACTAAGGTAAAATAAAACATATTTGTACACCCAACATACTATCCTATCCACTATCCCATTTCAATCATTACTTGCAGGTACACTTACACATTGTGCTTCACAGGCAAAATGTAACTTACAAAAGATGAAAGAAACTGAAGTGTTACATCAACACCATGAACAAGTGAAGCTTCATGTAAGAAACCAGCATAGTTGTTTTCCACTTGAAACAGTCTGGAACTCTCTCAATGTGCTCCACAAATTTTTATCTTACTCTCAGTGTGTATAATATACACGATAGTATAAGGTCTTTGACCTCCACAGGGAATATGAATTATCAAACTTCAGCTGGTAAACTCCTTGTCCTGCATACATGTGACTTCCTGCGTATACTTCTTCATGACAGTCTCGTCTGTACACGGGGATGATGATGCTGAGAGGAGGCTGGTCACTAGGACTAGTTCCTTTTTCCAAAACTGCTAAATTATTTTGCTGATCTGCATCTATAAACACAAAAAAAAAGCTGAATATTTTACATTTACATTAAAAAATAAAGTAAAAGTAAATTAATCTCAATAAGTTCAATGTAAGGTTATAATTTTTTTTCTACCACCTTCAAATACTGAATGTCTAGTTATTGAAAATGAGTAAAATATGTGTCTATCAGCAGAAACAGAGCCTAGATGAAATAAGCACTGCAAGTTTTTGGTATCTAACTATAAACATAGTAAAAATACACTTTTAAAGACATTTTAATGTTTTTATTTTAAGAAGTAAGATCTAAGAAAACAAAATAGCTTGTTGCATCGAAAAATGTGAATAACAAACAACACCCTTTGAAAGTTAGATAATATAAAAATTAATATGTTTTCTGAGCTTTTCTTATCTGAATAAGTTATATTCTGAATCACAAAATGTATCAAACTTCTCACCGTCTTCGTCTTCATCATCATCCTCACTTTCACTAATGTGAACAGACACCTGACTTCCTGGGGTTTTTGTCCATTCAAAGTACACACCAAAACCAATGTCATAACTGTCTGTGGCAAACTCCCAGAACAAACAAGTTCCATCGTCATGGGTAGGGACTCTTACAGTCACAGTTTCTCCGTGGCCAACTCTGATAATCCCATCTCCACCTTCCTTACGGATAGACTCCTTGAAGTCTTTGATGTCTTTTCTAGTCCACATGGATGCTGCTGCTATTGGAGGCATGTCTGTATCACCAGCATAATGCAAGAGTTAGTAAAAGCATGCAAAAAACAGATAAACTTCAATAAAATGGTGTGATAAAACACAAACATTACTTCTCAATACTTCACCTTTCATACACAAGATACACCTACTATAGCAAAGACTGCTGCTAAGAAAGAAAAGGCATGAGTAAGTATTGTTTACATTACAAATTACAATGTCTATATTCTTTATTTTACAAGTGCTCTTTGTTTGACTGTAAACTGTAAAACTATTTCTAATCTAGTTATTACACCTTACTTTTTTTGACAGCAAGTCATTTTGCATGCAAGAATCCGAGATGTTTCTCAACCATAAAACATTTAGGGAAACATGAACAACCTTGGAATGACTGTTTATAGTATTCCATACATAACAAGATTAATCGACTCTAATACACACAGTTGACTCAAAATATCAATGTTATCCTCCATACACGAGGAAAACAATTTAGAGCTAGAAACATAAATCTCACCATAGACTAATAACAATGTAGTCTACATTTTTCAATCCCATAATATTTTACACTTAAAACAACAGGAGTGATGGTAATAACTAAAATGTTGTTCAATAAATATTTTGGACTAGCACAAATTATATCATCAGTATTCTATAAGTAAACAATAAACCTACAGTTTTGATCTAACATAGCTACAAAAACATGTACAAAAATCAGTAACAATTATAGGTAAGAGTAAGAACAGATTTAAAGACTGAGTGTTAAGAATACGAAGGCACTTTTTAACTGTGAAGAATCCTTTTAATAAAAGTTTAATGTTATTGAATTAACAGTATATACAATATTGGATGTGGAATCTCTGTTTATTAATCATGTGTTTTACTATTATTGTCATTTCCTTGTTTTTCATTAACCTACAATTTCTGATTCATGAATCCAGTTTTCCACACTTATTCAAGTTGCTCAGTTTGCCTAATAAAATCACCAAAAAGCAAGAAAATCAAATCATTGAGGGCATAAATAAATGGTTAACAAAGAACTGAATCCTTCACAATAGGTTAAAAATATACTAAATTTGAACACTTGTAAATGCTAGCAGCTAAACTATATGAATTGTCTCTTTGAAATAAAAAGAATACCCAATCAGGTCAATATCAAAATTGAAAACTGACCTGTTGTTTCGTCGTCACTACTTTTTCCACTAGAATTTTCTCCATTTTTCATATTAACAAGCATCTTACTTCCATCATTAACATTCACATCACTTGTAATGTGGTTTGATGCCTGATTTTGGTTGTTTTTGACTAGTTGTTGTTGCAGAAGTTGTTGCATATACTGATGGTAATGTTGTTCTTGAAGTTGTCGAATTAACACTGCTTGCTTTGAGGGAAATATAGATAGATTTTATTTGATTTTCTATTAAGCATAAGAGCACACTTATAACACCCTGTAATCTACCATTTCTTTACAACTACAAAATTAATATTTTCAGCCTGTAGTGAACACCAGTATCAGTACAACAGAATGAATTTAGAGCAGGTACTATTAAATTATAAAATGATTTTAAACAACACTGATGGGGTTCAGGATTTCTGCCCTGCAGGTATTCCGAGTACTAGCTTAAAATTTACAGAAATTTACCACCATAGCTCATTCTTAACATTATCAAATTTTAAATAAAGGGGGGGGTATATGAATATCTCCAAATTTACTGGACTACAAGAGGATAAATTTTTCCTTCAAGCAAGGTCTAACTATGTGACAAATGCCAAAAATATTTAGTAAAACCCTTGTCCCCAAACAACTGGGTTACAGAAAAAGTATAACCCTCAAATCAGTAATGCATTTTGCAGGATAAACCAAACTTTGAATTTTCAACACAAAAGCTGCATTATTATATTTAAAACTAACACAAAAGTAAAGACTTGTCAATTTACTAAATTAAAACAAATTCTAATAACTGTATCAACTAATAAAACATTTTAAGTAAAAATCTCATATCACCCGTAAATTAAATCATGTTCCTACTTGTTCACAACATCTTTAGATTAAATGGAAATGTAAAAAAATGACTGTTAAAAGCAGTCACATCCAACACAATAATGAACAAACTATGTCAACAGGAACCGAACATCTACTGTAAAATATACAGAACCGATAGTTATAAGCAACCAAGCATTTGGATAACAATGGCTACATCAAAAACATATTACAAATACTTCACAAAAAGAATTCCACAAGGTTAGTTAAACTAAAAAATATGTAAACCTGTGAACTACTGCTAGCTCCCTTAAAATTCCTTCTATATAGTGAAAAGTACTTACAGTATTAGGCTTAGATAAATAGAAAATTAAATACAATTAAGTATAAAACTCATCCAGAATTTATGTGCATCAACAGGTCAAAAAAATAAAATAAATCATGTATTTAATGTTCATAATATATTTATAGAAAAAATATATTAAAAAGCTTAAGAAAAATGCTGCTTCGTTGCTTAGAAGACTGTATAAATATCTCTCTTCCCCACCCACCTCCAAAGATATAATAGACAGTTTCTACAATAAATAAATCAAAGACTTGTTCTCAGCAAAATGATTTACTTAAGAATAATCTCAACACCATGTTCACAACAGTGGCTTACCTGTTCTGGATTACCTGGCAACTGCTGTTCAGCGTACATCTTGAACTGATAATAGGTTTGTCGATTTAATGCCTCTTGAATCAGTCGTCTAAGAAGTCAAAGTGCACTTACACAACTTTGTTCAAAACCTTTTTTTAATGCATACAATAACCTATATCACTAAAATCCTTTGTAATAATTCTCTATATTTCTAGCAAGAAAATTATTTTAATAGATGAGAAACCTGATGAAAGCTAACAAAGATTAGAAAAGAATTGTTTACATGTTCATACAAATTTCTTTAGCAGTTAAATTATTATGATTCAGAAATCACGTTTGTCATACAATTTTCTCAATGTAATTTTATTGTTAAGCATAAAGCTAGACAATGTGTCATCTGTGCTGTGCCCATATAATTTTCTTGAATTTTTTCTTAGTAACGGAGACAATTTGGAGTAACATTTATCTCCAATGTCCAAAAGTGATCCAATATAAGAAAAAAAAGAGAACATTCAATATACAACAGCATTACCATACTGCCCCTAATTAATGTCCCCTGGTATTTTTATAAAGCTTACTTTGTGTGACAGCAATAGTAATCCAAAAAATAATCCACTTTTACCATAATTTTGATTTTAGAAAAGAAAAAAAAGGAAGGAGAAAAATAAACACACACACACACACACTTTTTAGCACTGAAATCAATAAATCACATGTGAAAAATTGAATCCAGAACTGCAAAGACTATAATTAACAACCCCCCCCCCTTGCAGTTTGTAATGCCCATGGGGGCATTAATTACGGGCAATACAGTAATTTATAATAAGACTCAATATGAAAAAGGACATTTTATAAGATTCGGTATTAAAATGGACCACCCTGTAATGTGGTTCAGTATTAAAATGGAACAACTTGTAATGTAGTTCAGTATTAAAATGGAACAACTTGTAATGTAGTTCAGTATTAAAATGGAACAACTTGTAATGTAGTTCAGTATTAAAATGGACCACCCTGTAATGTGGTTCAGTATTAAAATGGACCACCCTGTAATGTAGTTCAGTATCAAAATGGAACAACTTGTAATGTAGTTCAGTATTAAAATGGAACAACTTGTAATGTGGTTCAGTATTAAAATGGAACAACTTGTAATGTGGTTCAGTATTAAAATGGAACAACTTGTAATGTAGTTCAGTATCAAAATGGAACAACTTGTAATTGGTTCAGTATTAAAATGGACCAACTTGTAATGTAGTTCAGTATTAAAATGGACCACCCTGTAATGTAGTTCAGTATCAAAATGGACCACCCTGTAATGTGGTTCAGTATTAAAATGGACCACCCTGTAATGTGGTTCAGTATTAAAATGGAACAACTTGTAATGTGGTTCAGTATTAAAATGCACCAACTTGTAATGTAGTTCAGTATTAAAATGGACCACCCTGTAATGTAGTTCAGTATTAAAATGAACCGCCCTGTAATGTAGTTCAGTATCAAAATGGACCACCCTGTAATGTAGTTCAGTATCAAAATGGACCA